CTCTTCTTATTCCATTACGTCCCTGGCCCCCCCGCTGGGCCGCGCACATGCCAGCGGTCATGATTTGCACCCCCCCCTCTTGGACACCCCCCTCTTGGCCGCTCCCGACGTTTCTGCCCGAGAAGTTCTCGGCACGGCCTGAGGCGCCTCGCGATCTGCCGTGCCTGCTTTAGCCGGGCGCTGCTCGAGTCTTCCCCCGCTCTGCGCCACGGCTGGGTGGAGCGTTGCCTGGGCGCGCTCGGCTGCCCGTGGGCCATCAGTCAGGAGGGAAGAAACACACAGACACAAGTGATCGTCGACTCCCCAGAAAAGAGGGGAAAATATCGGAAGCGGGGGGGAGACAAAAACCCAGAAGGTATGGGGAAATCTGGGGGATCATTTTATGTTTTTCTGTATTTATTTGTGTGTCCCTGGGCCCATTCAATCATGAACTTCATGACCACTCGGTACATGCCTTTTCTGGGACTGTCGCTACGCCGATGGGCGAAAAGGTCGCGTACTCCGTAGAATCTGGCATCCATCAGGGACTGGCGCTTTCCGGCATTCTGTTTGCGCTGGCCACTCTTTAGGGGAACGAAGAATGACATAAACATAAAAACTCGGAGGTCCGCGCGGATTTCTCGGATCCGCGCTGGGGCCCCTTGGCGGCGCCTCCGGCGCCGCCCCTGGCGCGCTCCGCGCGCCAGGGAGGGGGGGTCCAGCGCGGATCCAAGAAATCCACGCGGACCTCCGAGTTTCATGTTTTATGTCAGTCTTCGTTCCCCTACTCCAGATTTCGTAATAAAGGGAGGGGAGTCTCATTTCGGGGGGGGGGTCTCATCCATGCTATCTTGGAGGGCCTGGGGGGGTCTGGGGACGATGTTTTGGAGGGTTCTCCCAAGGGGGGGGGGTCTAAAACTTCTCGTCTGGGAGGGTTGAGACCCCCTCCCTTTTATTACGAAATCTGGAGTACTCTTGCTTCCGCGGGGGACCTGCCCAGGTGCGTCGGCGCCGCCGTGCGCGGGGCGACTCGTCTCTGTGCCGCTGACCTCGGCGGCGCGGTCACTGGCGTCGCGCACCATGCCCATGTCGAGCGGGCCCCCGGCGTAGCGCGCACGGCCGCCACCTCCTCCTCCCTCCTCCTCCTCCTCCTCCTCCTTCCTCCTCCTCCTCCCCTCCTCCTCTCCTCCTCCCTCCTCCTCCTCCTCCTCCCCTCCTCCTCCCTCCTCCTCCTCCTCCCTCCTCCCCCTCCCCCTCCTCCTCCCCCTCCTCCTCCCTCCTCCTCTCTCCTCCTCCTCCTCCTCCTCCTCCTCCTCCTCCTCCTCGTTACCTGAAGCTGGCCAAGGGCATGCCTACCCCGGTGCGCGCTGCCTTTTAAAAGCAGGCGCGTGCGGCGGCTTGGCGGATCTTGGAGTAATTCGTCCCAGGTTCCCTCGGTTTCCAGATTGTCGACATCATCCGATATCTGGGCCACTGGCTAGGCCGTTCCGTGACGCTTTCGCGCCAGTGGGAGGGGCCACTTGACAAGGTCGGCCACCGCATGCGAGAGGCTGGGTCTAGTGGCGCCCCGGCTTCGGCACGTGCCCTGGCGTAGTCTTCAAAGATTGTGTCAGTGTTGTCTTACCTCGCTCAGGTGCTTCCGCTGCCTGGCGGTCTTCTTGGTCTGAAAGTCGGAGTCGGCTTCTTGGCCCATTTGATTAGGATTTCTCTTGGCGTGTTTCAGCCTCACCGCTCAGATGAAGTCGTGGGGTGGCCATCGGGTTTCGTCGTGACCCACCTCGTGCGCTGCTGCGCTGGTGCGGACTTCGAGGATCACGCTCGCTGGTTCTCATGCGTTGATCGCTGATTGGAGCTCGACTCTGCTTGACCGGCATGTCTGATTGCCGTTTAGGGTTGGTGGGTTTTGACCAACTCTCGCCGCAACACTTGCAGTGCACCTCTTTCGCCGCGTTCCTGGACCCTGCCGCGGACGTCTCCGGCCCGGCTGTGGACCCGGCTCCTCACGGTTGCGAGCACGACGATATCCGACCTTGCCGCCGAGGCAGAAATCGCCCTAGGCGGGCCAAACTCCAGCGTGCTGCCTTGTGGCCATGGACGACCTCCTCGCCACTCGTGGTGGCCTCTGCGACCTGTTTGCCCAGCGCCAGTGGTGGCCTACGCAACGGCAGTTCTTTGCAATATTGGATTGGGACGCTGCGCAGGCTGTCTGGTCCAAGTGCCCCGTATCGTGGTCGTGGCCGTCGGAGCAAGCCCCCAGTAGCGGCGGTCCAGTATCCGATGCTGTCGCACAACGCTCACCACAATGGAGCAACTCCAAAAGGGGGGTCGTCTGCGCCGACATTGGCGCGTAAGCTGCCCGCGTGAGGGCGCGCGTAAGCGCCCTCGTCTCCAATGCAGCGTGCCGCGCGGGCGGTTCGCGCAAGCTGCGGCGTGAGGTCGCTATGGCATCTCGCGCAAGACCCGTTTTTGATCGTCGTTCAGTTGTGCTCGCGAAGGCCGGCCTGTGCCTCATCGCTCTGCTGTCACCCATGATCGTGCTGCATGCCAGGGCCTGACGCTTGCGATGCCTCTGGTCCGTTCTCTTCCGGATGTTCCTGTGGACTCTCCCTGGCAGCTGGCGCGTCGTGCTGATGGTTTTCTGGTGCCTCGTCCTCCCACAGACACGCGTGGGCTTACCTCGGGATTAGCCGGCGGCGGCATTCGTCCAGGAGTCCTGCAAGTGGCATCTGGGCCACCGTGCCCACGCACACCGCGTCCGATCCTGCTTTGGTCACCGTGCCCATTCCGAATTGCCTCGCCGTCGAGCTGCTGGCCTGCGCAACCACAGGGGAAACGCAGTGACCATGCACAGAGGCATTGTGCAAGCTGTCGCAGAACCATTGGACAGGAGTCCGTCGGCACTTTCTACCTTACTTGCCACGCCTCCGCGCACGGTGAGCGAACCTGCCTTCCTTGCAGAGGATGCTGTCGATCTTCCCCGGTACGGTACTGTACAGTCATCTTCGGCTCCTCCTGCGTTATTGTCGGCTCCTGGGGCGGAGATTGTATACGGCGCTCGCCTACAAGGACATGCCTTCCCTGATGTCGAGGACTACGGATTTGGCATGCCGCCCCCCAATGGCATGAGACTTGCCGCGCGCTAGGTGGGCGGAGAACGTGCTGTTGATCTGCGCTGTGCTCCTCTTCTTTTCCCAAGCGCAAAGCAACTCTCTCCTCCCTCCTCCTCCTCCTCCTCCTCCTCCTCCTTCCCCTCCTCCTCCTTCTCCTCCTCCTCCTCTCTCTCCTCCTCCTCCTCCTCCTCTCCTTCCTCCTCCTCCTCCTCCTCCTCCTCCCTCTCTCCCTCTCCTCCTCCTCCTCCTCCCTCCTCCCCTCCTCCTCCTCTCCCTCCTCCTCCTCCCCCTCCCCTCCTCCTCCTCCTCCTCCTCCTCCTCCTCCTCCTCCTCCTCCTCCTCCTCCTCCTCCTCCTCCTCCTCCCTGCGCCCTCCCCCCCCTGCCCTCGAAAGCGATGGCCCATCGTGGCACCCCAACGACCGTGCCCCCCCATCCCGAGTTGTGAAAATCCGTTCTGGGCCTGCTGCCGCAAGGGTAGCGGTCTCGACCCGGCTCCCCGGGGTCGGCTCTGCACGCCCCAGATCCGCTTCTGGAAGCCCCTGGCTGCTCGACGGCAGCCCCTGGACGCCCCGGGACGGGACGGAGACGACGGGATTGGAACATCCAGCCCGCGGGGAGGGTCCTCGGGGGGGGGCATTCTTCGCATACCCTGATTGATAATATTGTGAATTGCATGTGGTATTGTCGTCAATGTGTTCGCTTTGGGTCCGAGCAGATTCGAGCTCTGGCCACGCCCTGTGTCGAGGTTCCTTTGACCCCCAAGCGGCGTGAATAATTACCTTGACAGGCTGACCCGAGGTTTCAATCCCAAGGCTTAGTGTGCTGTGTGACGCTTTGCGTCTGTTCCGATTCCGATTCCGACTCCTCGCCTCAAGTTGGGCTTGTCCCTCTACAGGAGGAAGATTCAAAGATGGTAGAAAAACTAGTCTGGGGACGATTATTGGAGTATGTTGTGACAATTTGGGGGTATTTTTGGGGTATGTTCTGTTTTTCGTCGAAAATCCCCCTGCAGGGGGACACGCTCATGACCATCGCTGCATGCACGAAAGAGCTTGCGTCAAATGTTGGCGTACTTGCACGACGAGTGTTCCGGTTTCGGATCCCAGCGTTGCCCCTCTTCCACGAAGGACAAGTCATCAGAAACTATACGGCCAAGCCGCTGCAATATGCTGCAGCGGCCCACGACACTGTGAAGTAAGGGCCCGATTCAATCCTCGCCGCGGGCGGGCAGGGAAGCTCCCCCGCGAGCGGGGCGCCCAGCGGCCCGGCTCCGAGGAGAGCCCGCGGTCGGGCCGCCGCGCTCCCGAGGCCGCGGGGGGCCGGCCTGCGGGGCGTGCGCGCCCGCCCCGCAGGGCGCGCGTCGGGCCCCGCCCCGGCGGGGTCGCCTCCTCGTTGCTGTCGCGGCGCCTCCCTCCGCCCGCCCCGCGTCTGCTTCCCTTGTCTTGTCCTCTCTGGGCCCATCTGCCGACGGAGAAGCGGCGCGTGCCTTACCCGAGTCGAGTCGTCCTCCTCCTCCTCCTGCTCCTCCTCCTCCTCCTCCTCCTCCTCATCATCATCACCATCATCATCATTATCATCATCATTATCATCATCATCATCACCATCAGCATCATCAGCATCATCATCAGCATCATCAGCATCACCATCATCATCATTATCATCATCATCATCATCAGCAGCATCATCATCATCATCATCCCCATCATCCCCATCATCCTCATCCTTTTTCCTACCTGCTCGCCATCGTCGTCATGCCTCCTTCTTGTTCAATTCCCCCCCCCCCCGAACGCCTCTCGCCACGTCCGTGCCCACATCAGACCTGGGCACACCCCAGCGAGGAAGCTTTCTGGCCGCTCTCATCTTGCGGCAGCTGCGCTTGCTGCTAAGCCGAGAGCAGCAGGGCGGGGCAGGCGTTCGAGGCGTTCCAGCCGACGCATCGGGTGTCGCCGCCCGAGCCAAGGATCTCCAGCCCCGCCGCCTCCCCGCGGCATGGAGGAAGGATGCATCTATATGTGTATATATATATATATGTAGATATGTGCGTGGGAGACTTTATTGATGCTCGCCTTGTTCCGGACGCTTCCCCGGCAAAGCAATACATCAGCGTTTGCTTCAGCACCGCTCCTCATGGAAGGAGGAAAGGAGAGAAGTTTCGTTTGGCTTTTCATTTGCCACCTCCAAGGAGTATCCCTACCCATCCCTTCCTCCTCCTTTCCTTCTCTTCCGCCTCCTCCTGTGGTTGAGCCCACCCTTTGAGAAAGTAAAGAGCGTTTCCATGACGCGCCGAAAAAGTCGCAGCAGCTCCGAACACTTGATTTTCAGTCGCTTACTGGATGCCTGCAGGGCCCCAAGCACTCAGGAAATCTTCGGTCGTCGAACTTCGAACCTGTCCCTCTCCATCGAAGAATTTAAACCTCGAGCCTCAGGCGTCGAATCAAGATCGTCGGGTCAGCTCGTAGGAGAACGCCGTCTGGGCTTTTGGGGGGCTCGTTTGGGCCGTTCTTGGGCCCTCTTGGGCCGTCCTGGGGCCTTCCTGGGCCGTCTCGGGGAGCTGGGGCCTCCAGAGGTCTTCTGAAGCCATCTGGGGCCCTCTTGGGGGCCTCCACAGGCCCTCTTGGGGGTCTCCCATGGCTTTCGTAGGTCTCCCTTGGGAGCCTTCTGCGGGCATTTTGGGCTTCTTGTGGGCCGTCTCGAGGCTCTCTGGGGCAGTCTTGGGCCCTCGTGGGCCGTCTTCAAACCCTGGGGGGCCTCTTGAGCCGTCTTGGGGCGATGTCTGGGACCCATCGGGCCGTCTTGATCGCTGCAAAGACCCCGAAAGCGGATGATATGCTAAAATACTAATTTTCCGAAGGAAAAGGGGCGATGTTTGCTTGCTTCTTCGGGGCTGTCTGAACGGCCTCTTGGGGTGTCTTGGGGGCCTCTTGGGCCGTCTTCAGACCATCGAGGTTCCTCTTGGAGCGCTCTTGTGCTGTCTTGAGTCTCTCTCTTGCGCCTCTCCGATGGCCCCTCTGATCGCGCTGAGTCTGCTCGGAAGGCCCGGCCAGGCGCCCTGGGAGGCACGTGAAGGCTGGCGGACCTTTTCCGAGGGCGTCCAGGGGGCCGCCGAGCGCCGGGGGCTTCCCTTGGGGGGAGGGTCCGGTTTCGGGGGTGGGGGTTGGGGGAGGGTCCGGGCAGTAGAAATGTTAGAATAGGAATAGGTGTATGCATATACACATACACGCATGTTCCGATGTGGGGAGAGAGAGAGAGAGAGAGAGAGAGAGAGAGAGATATAAAAAGAGCTTGCGAGGGAAGCCAACGAGAAAAAGAGACGGCAGAGGAGGGGTGGTCGAGGAATGTGGAGGCGGATGATGGAGGAGGTTGGGAGGGCGAGAGGGAGGAGAATGGGAGGAGGACAGGGAGGAGGAAGGGGAGGAGGAGGAGGAGGAGGAGGAGGAGGAGGAGGAAGAGGAGGAGGAGGAGGAGAAGGAACGAGCACGAGGGAGCAGGAGCGAGCAGGAGCGAGCAGGAGGAGGAGGAGGAGGAGAAAGGAAGAGGAGGAGGAAGAAGATAGATAGGGGTGAGGACGAGGATAGGGTGGAGGTGGAGATGGAGGTGGTGGCGGCTGTGGCCGATGGGGGGTGATGGGGATGAGTGTGGGAAGAGGAGGGGAGGCAGAGCCAGGGGCAGGGGATGGCAGAGAATCGAGGAGTGGGTCGGGGTGAGAACTGGGAGGGGGGCGCGTGGGTGGAAAGGGGGGGGGGAGGAAAGGCGAGACCCTTCATGGGCCGCTCCAGAAAGAGCCTCACCTCCGCAGATCGAAGGAGTTGACGTCTCTTCTCTGGACGAGAGCCGGCGGAAGCCGGCGGAAGCGCAGCACGAAGGCGGCCCCGCCGGCGGAAGTGAAACACGCCTCCGCCGCGAGATGTGTTGTGATCGTTTTCTTATTCGTTGTTTGCCGATCGGCGCGGGCTGCTCCCCCCCCATGGATCGGCGGTGGATGGACCTCCTACCCTGACACGTCGATTAGCGAATTGGCCGTTTTCGGTTCGCGAGAGGGCGTCGCGGCCGTCATTTGTGCGGGTCCAGGTGCGTCGGTTTTCTATCCCAGGCCGTTTTCATTAAAGGGGGGTTTACTCAGGGAGGTTTGTCCACCGCCGAATGGAGTCGATCTTGGCTGTTTTTTGGCGCCTGTTTCGAGCAGGTGGAGTCTCCCCAATAGGACGCACTGCTCCAAATAGTCGCACTAAGCAGAGGTCCAGAGCCAGACCCCCCCCCCTCCCCCCGCCCTTCCGCCCGATGTCGAAACGCCGACTAGAATAAGAAACCGCTCACTTTCTTGGGTCTGTTCAGGGTTTTTGAGGCCCGCCGTATGCTTCGCCCCACCCGCCCTCTCAAGGGGCATGGGGCCCGTCATCGATGCCTCGGCCGGGTTCCATCGGCAAAGTAGAGAAAACACGTCTCCACACGAGATGTTTCTTTGGGTCGGTTCAGGGTTTTCGGGACACGCCGTATGCGTCGCCCCATCGGCCCCATCAAGGGGCATGGGGCCCGTCATCGATGCCTCGGCCAAGGTCCATCGGCAGAGTAGAGAAGAGGCCCAAGGTCCATGCACTTATGCCTCAGGGATGAGCACATCTGAGCCACGAGTTTGAGCCTGCATCCACCCGGCAGCCTTGCCACTCCCCCCCCCACTCCTTCTCGTCCTCCAGGCAAGCTGCATTACATCCCATGCTAGCTCTCAATCTGCATCAAGGGTTCCAGTCTTGCCCCGCTGTCGGGCTGAAGTACTTGCAGTCGTGTTTTTGTTCGGCTTCGCGTGTCGCGCCGCCGGTTCAGGCCCAGCACAACTCCTCTTCTTCCTCCTCCTCTTCCTCCTCCTCCTCCCCCTCCTCCTCCTCCTCCTCCTCCTCCTCCTCCTCCTCCTCCTCCTCCTCCTCCTCCTCCTCCTCCTCCTCCCCCCCTCCTCCCCCTCCTCCTCCTACTACATTCCGTTTTCCGAGGAATACATCCTCCCTCGGCGCGGCGCCATCCACGTCCCGGCCGCTGGGCGTCGGCAGCCCGAGCTCTCCAAGCTGGGGAGCGCAGCAGCACGCTACCCGCTCGCCAGGCACCGCGTGTCGCCAGGCCCCCGCCGCGACACGCGGAGCGAAGGCGTCCGACCGTGGGCACGCCGGCACGAGCCTCCCGCGGCGCAGCTTCCTCTGCTCCCGCCGCTGCTTCCCGCGAGGCTGCCGGCCTCCCCCGTCGGCGCCTGCTGCTGCTGCTTCTGCTGCTGCTGCTGCTGCTGCTGATGATGATGATGCTGATGATGCTGATGATGATGATGCTGATGATGATGATGATGATGATGATGATGATGGTGGTGGTGATGGTGCTGGTGATGATGATAATGATGATGCTGAACATGATGATGATGATGATGATGCTGATGATGATACGGGTGAGGGTGAGGAGGAGGAGGAGGAATGGGACGCTGATTATGATGATGCTGCTGATGATGATGATGCTGATGATAATGATGATGCTGATGCTGATGATGCTGATGCTGTTGATGGTGATGCTGATGCTGCTGATGATGCTGCTGCTGATGATGATGCTGATGATGATGACGATGATGATGATGATGATGATGATGATGATGATGATGATGCTGATGATGATGATGATGATGATGATGATGATGATGATGATGATGAGAGATGATGATGATGATGATGATGATGATGATGATGATGATGATGATGATGATGATGCTTTTGGCATGGTGGCAATGCTGAGGAGGAAAGGGAGAATGAGGGAGGGAGGAGGAGGAGGAGGAGGAGGAGGAGGAGGAGGAGGAGGAGATGGAGGAGGAGGAGGCGGAGGAGGAGGCGGACGCGGAGGAGAAGGGGGGAGGAGAAGGAGTTATAGGAGAGAGGAGGAGGAGGAGGAGAGGAGGAGGAGGAGGAGGGAAGAGGAGGAGGAGGCGGAGGAGGAAGGAGGCGGGGGAGGAGGAGGAGGAGGAAGGAGGAGGAGGAGGAGGAGGAGGAGGAGAGGAGAGGAGGAGGAGTGGAGGATGGGGACAATGTGCAATGAGCTGGAGGAGGAGGAGAGGAGGAGGAGGAGGAGGAGGAGGAGGAGGAGGCGGGGAGGAGGAAGGCGAGGGATTGGACAAGCAGGGTGTAGAGGAAGATCAGAGCATGTGCAGGAGAAAGAGGGGGAGGAGGAGGAAGAGGAGGAGGAGGAGGAGGAGGAGGAGGAGGAGGGAGGAGGAGGAGAGGGACGGATGAGGGAAGGAGGAGGAGGAGAGGAGGAGGATCAGGAGGAGGAGGAGGAGAGGAGGAGGAGGACGACGAGGGTGGACAAGGTGCAATGAGCTGGAGGAGGAGGAGGAGGAGGAGGAGGAAGAGGAGGAGGAGGAGGAGGAGGAGGAGGAGCGGATGGAGGAGGAGGAGGAGGAGGAGGAGGAGGGGGGGAGGAGGAACGCGAGGAGGAAGGCGAGGGATTGGACAAGAGGGTGTATGAGGAGGAGAAGCATGAGGGAGCAGGAAGAGGGAAGAGGAGGAGCAGGTGCAGGAGGAGGAGGAGGAGGAGGAGGAGGAGGAAGAGGAGGAGGAGGGGGAGGAGGAGGAGGAGGAGGAGGAGGAGGAGGAGGACAAACAACATCGGCCTCACGCTGGTGGCACTCCAGAAGGCCCAGATCTCCCGCATGTGGGGCGGAGCCAGAGAACCACGAACTCACCCTTAACCGAGATATGACCTCTTGGGCCGCATCCAGTTGCGTGGCCTCAAGGACGGCCTTCACAGGACCTTCGTGGGAAGGATGCAAAAGCCTCTAGGCACACGCGCCACGACCTCCTTCCCATTGGCCATGAGCTCGGGGGTGTGTGGGGGCAGGGTTCGCGCAATCTCACATTTTGAAACGTGGTGTGTGATTCACACGCGAAGCAGAATAGTACATCCCATTTCGGTATCTCAAGGACGTGGTGAGACTAGTAAGCAAACTG